TGATAATTACCAAATTTAAAGACAATGTTTACCTCTGGAGAGAGAGTGAGAGAAATAGGCTTGTATGTGATACAATAAAGTCTTGGACTGTATCTGAAATGTTTTATTTCTTTAGAAAAAAATGTGAATCAGATATGGCAAAACGTTAGGATTTCACAACGCTGGGTGGTAAGTACATGGGTAATCATTATACAGTATTTTTTTCTATACTCTGCATTCCTAAAATATTTTACAGACCTTTTTTTTAAGGCAGTTAAAAGGTGTACGTTATTATTCAAAGTACTGCCTTAGTTTATTCCAGTACTTCCTAAATATCAGGTTGTTTTGCTAGAGAAAAAAACAAAACAAAATAAAACATATTTCTATGGTCCACACCCCAGTAACAGGGTTTCAATTCTAATCAAAATGGGGAAATTACACCAATGTAGAACCTTAGCTTTTGATCAATACTAACGCGCCCTCTGCTGGTCATTTGGTGCCCTGACCTAAAGTTCAAAATGGCGAGGAAGAGCAGTGAAGGTCTTCAGTGAGACAGCGTTTATTGTTAGGGGAAGAAACTCTCCCAGAATTCCTCTTAAATCACAAAACATATTTAAATCAGCTCCCACTGTCTGTTAATATTACATATGATCCAGGACAAAATAAATTCAAAGGTACCACCCCAATCAACCTTCCCAGTTTCCTCAACCACCACACACATTAACAATTTTGTCCCCAGTCCAAACTCTGGTTGCTGTGTGAGACAGGAGATGCCACCCTTAATGTCTGGGAATGGCAAAAGGGAACCCAATTCCCCTGGGTGGTGGTGCTGACACCACTGAACACTCAAAAAATGGATACACTGGTATGAAGGATGACAGGTAAATTTTTTCTTTTCAAATATTTCTCTAAAATTATAGCACTTTTAAATAAACCAAATTGAAGAAAAATAAATTAATTAATGCAAGAATCTACTGCTCAAAGAGAGAGAAATAGCGACTGAATATTAGCGCCTTCTTTTCAATAAGTTTTCTTTATTATTATTTTGTTTTGTTTTGTTTTGTTTTGTTTTCAGTTAATATTGGTCTTCCTCATTGAAATTTAAGCTCCCCAAGACCAGGGTGTGTGTCCATCCTACTCAACACTGTATCCCCAGCACCTGACACAATGACTTTCTAAGTATTTAGAAAACATGTGATAAACGAAAAAATGAATGATCATTTCCTTGGAGTGTAAATTAGTACAAATTTTCTGGGGAGCTATTGGCAGTAGATATTGTGCCTTTAAGACTGTACATCCTTCAGTAATCATAGATGTTGACAAAGAGTAAGTCTTTTAATAATCAGAAACATCCCTTTCAAAGATATGCTATGCCAAATTCTTTTTAGTTATAAAAAATTTGAAATAATCTGAATTTTCAAAGTTACATGTTTAAGTCTATTATAGTACATCCATATGAAGAAATGCTATGCTGTTATTAAAATCATTTTTCAGAATGTTTAATGATATGGGAAATTCTGATAACATAAAAATAGGTTAACATTATATGTATATTATTTCATCAATTCTATTAAATATGAGTATAAATTTATTATATATGCATGAAACTGTATACAACAAAATATTTGCTGTAGTTCTATATGGGTAGAGGAGTCATGAGTAAGGGGTTTTTTGGTTCTTGTTTTTACCAGGTGCCAGCACTACTTTAGATACTTTAGGGGTTTTGTTATTGTTTTAATTTTTCTTAATTCAATTTTTTTTAATTGAGGTATAGTTAATTTACAATGTTGTGTTATTTTCAGGTGTACAGCAAAGCAATATGCATATATTCTTTTTTAGATTCTTTCCCATTAGTTCCCTGTGCTATATAGTAGGTCCTTGTTGGTTATCTTTTTTATATATAGTAGTATGTATCTGCTAATCCCAAACTCTTAATTTATCCTTCCCCTTTGGTAACCATAAGTTTGTTTTCTATGTCTGTGAGTCTTTTTCTGTTTTGTAAATAAATTCATTTGTATTGTTTTTTTAGATTCCACATGTAAGTGATATCATATGATAATTGTCTTTCTCTGCCTGACTTACTTAGTATGATAATCTCTAGGTCCATCCATTGTTGCTGCAAGTGGCATTATTTCATTCTTTTTTATAGCTAAGTAATATTCTGTTTTATATATATACCACATCTTTGACATTTAGGTTGCTTCCATGTCTTGGCTATTGTAAATAGTATTGCTATGAACATTACAGTGCATGTATCTTTTTGGTTTTTTTTTCCAGGAGAGAAGTAATTAGGTTTATTCATTTATTTTCAGAGGAGGTACTGGGAATTGAACCCAGGACCTCATGCATGCTAAGCATGCACTCTACCACTTGAGCTATACCCTCCTCCCTATCTTTTTGAATTAGAGTTTTCTCCGAATATATGCCTAAGAGTGGGATTGCTGGATTATGTAGTAAATCTATTTTTAGTTTTTTAAGGAATCTCCAAACTGTTCTCCATAGTGGCTGCACCGATTTACATTCCCACCAACAGTGGAAGGTTCCTTTTTCTCCACACCCTCTCGAGCATTTATTATTTGTACATGTTTTGATGATAGCCATTCTGACTTGTGTGAGGTGATACCTTATTGTAATTGTGATTTGCATTTTTCTGATAATTAGTGATATTGAGCATCTTTTCATGTGCCTGTTGGCTATCTGTATGTCTTCTTTGGAGAAATGTCTGTTTAGACCTTCTGCCCATTTTTTGATTGTTTGTTGTTGTTGTTATTGACTTGTATGAACTGTTTGTATATTTTTGAATTAATCCCTTGTCAGTCACATCATTTGCAAATATTTTCTCCCATTCCATAGATTGTCTTTTTTGGTTTCCTTTACTGTATAGATACCTTACTTGTATTAGTATATTTATGTTAAGTTTTTAAGCAGCTTTATCAAAAAGGCCTTATAATAAATCACACCTATTTAAATTTACAATTGGATAAGTTTTAAGTGTTAAATATTACTATTTAATGCAGATGTTAATACAATCAACTTCCCTTTTCTTTAGATTTTAATGATGTATAATTATTTGATAGAACATAAAATTATTCAACCAACAATTTTCTTCCACTAAAATATTAAACATTGGTATAATTTGGAGGAGAAGGTTCTAGTTTTATTGAGATACAACTGACTTACCACTGTGTATTAGTTTAAGGCATACAACATAATAACTTGATATATGTATATATTGCAAAATGGTTACCACAATAAGCTTAGTTAACATCAGTCAGGACACACAGTTACAACTGTTTTTCTTGTGATGAGAACTTTTAAGATCTACTAGGTAAGTTCTGATATATGTGTACACCCATGAAACTATCACCACCATCAAGGTAAAACATTTCATCTCTCCCAAACGTTTCCTCATGCCTCACCCAACTCCAGTCTCCCTCATTTCCAAACACCGATCTGCCTTCTGTCACTATAGATTAGTTTTCACTTTCTGGAATTTTATATAAATGGAAACATACCATATATACCCTTTTTTGTCTGGTTGCTTTTACTCCACATAATTCTTTCGAGATTCATCCATGTTGTTGAGTGTATCAGTACTTCATTTCTACTTAACTACTGAGTAGTATTGCATTGTATGTATACACTATCTTGTTTATTCATTCACCTGTTGGTGGGCATTTGGGCTGCTTCAAGTTTTTGGCTATTACAAATAAAGCTGCTATGACCATTTGTGTATAAGCCCTTGTATGGATATACGCTTTCATTCCTCTTGAGCGAAATACATAGGAGTACAAAGGTTGGATGATATGGTATATCTAATCTAGTATTTAACTTTTTAAGAAACTGTCAAACTATATTCCTAAGCAGTTGTACCATTTTACATTCTAACCAGCAATGAATGAAAGTTCCAGGTCCCCTGTCTCCTTGTCAGCGATTAGCATAGTTAGCCTTTGTACTCATTCCAATAATTGTGTGTTGATTGTGGGATTTTTTTCTTCTTTAGCCTTATGTTTTTTTAATTTTTTGGCAATGAAATATATCTTTCATGATTAAAAATTGCTTAAAGTAACTAAAATAAAAGTGGCATAGTCTAATATGAAGTCTTAGGCTGGAGACTCCTCTCATTCTGAGAGAATGTCCCAATGTGGTCTTCAGAGCACCCAGCAAAGGAAGTGCAGCTGTGGAGCTGGCATAAGCCCGCATAGTATAACACTTGTTTTTTAATCAATTTTCTTTTCAATGTTATAACCACACTGGGGTTTTAAGAAAAAATTTAAACATATATATACCTCTCAATCTAACATATTTCCTTTTTCTGTTTTCTCCTCCAGCTCTTATTCACCTACATACATGTTTTGCAGGGTTTTTTAAATTATTATTATTTGGGGGGGAATTAGGTTTGTTTATGTATTTACATTTAGAGGGAATACTGGGGATTGAACCCAGGACCTCGTGCATACTAAGCATGTGCTCTACCACTTGAGCTATACCCACCTCCATCCATATTTTACAGAGTTTTAACACCAGCTCTATAGTTTACATTTTCACTCGTCATTATATCATATTTTCCATATTGCTGATTTACCTTTTCAACCATAATTTTAAACGTCAAATTAATGCATTGTAAGTTACTTCCTCAACCTCCTATTGTTTGGCTGTTTCTAATTTTTCATTATTAATGATAATGTTGTAATAAATAACTTTGTACAAAAAGCTTGCTTCTGCTTTTGCATTATTTCCCTATTATAACACCCAGGAGTGAGACTCCTGATCAAAGACAAGGATGTTTTTCTAGATCTTGATATGTACTGTCATCGCTTTCCCCAAGGGGCTTACTGATTTAAATGTCAGTTGCCATGTGTCAGCACTAGTTTTTGCAGCATTTGCTAATTTCCTAGGTATAACATACCTTGTTGTGCTAATTTGCATGCCATTGATTGCTCACCAGGTAGACATTTTCCCACATCTGGGACCACTGCCTGCTATCCTTTGCTGATGAAGGATGCTCTTTGTCTTCACAGACCCAGAGCCAGGGAGCATGACCCTTGACCCTCTTAGTGCTTCACTGGCTGACCACATCCAGATCCCCGAGGCAAATACTGTCCAAAAGGCGTAAGTGTTCAAAGCTGTGATGACATGGACATCTCTTTGTTTTTCTTTGTTTTTAATTAATTTCTTTTTTTTTTCTAAGAGGCATGAAGATTCTCCAGTAACCAACAACATGTTCTGACAACCAGAATTAAACTATTGTCTAAGAAACAAGGATTCTTGAGGAGGATTGTGAATATGTTTAAATAGGAAACATATTCTTTGGCTGGGTGGGTGAAGAGCAAAGTTGAACTCTAATAAGGTGGAAGCAGCTTTCCCCATTTGTCCATGTATCTGAGCTCTGCAGACACACCTAGAAAGCTGAGGTGTATCAGCTCACCCTTGGTGTCTCCTCTCAGCACTCATTCAGCTTTGAGTAAAATAAGTAATACCAACAATACTAATAGAATTGCTACCATGTATTGAGTGCTTCCTACACGCTATGTGCTTACTGTGAGCTCACCGACCAACAGCTTGGCCCGTTCAGGCCCAGTCACTTGACCTGTTTGGCAGTGGCAGCTGGAACTATAGCCTTTTGTGACCTCCCATGAGCCTCGGTGACTTACGACCCTGCCCTCATCTGCCTTGTGGTATAAGGATTCCCTCCTGGGTCAAAAGGCTCGGCACTCCCTGGGAACAAAGGAAGAAGGGCACTCGGGTGGTGAGGCAGCTATCTGAAGAATTCCATTTTTTAGCTTTTATAGCTCATCTTTTCCAAAATGGATTTAAACTGCTTACACCAGCAACCGCCTCCCTACAAAAAAAAAAAAAAAAAAGATGAGATAATCAAAAAGAATTTTGTTTTTAGTCTGGAGAAAAGAAAAAAGAACACCAACACTCCACAGAAGTCATTATTCTAGTCACTGTGACTAAAGTTCAGACTTTCAGACTGAATGTGAAAGCAAAAAAAAAAAAAAAAAAAGGAGCAACACTGTCAGGTTTGTGGTTCTCATTTGCAGCATGCCTGTTCCTCAGGGGAAATAAAGCACTAAATTCTAAAGGATACTTCTTCCATGAGTTTTTATAGAGTGACATTGAATGATTTAAAGACTCGTATATTTACAGGAAATTCTATTTACCTCATTCAACAAATATTTCTCAAGTTTCTATAGGAAGGCCCAGCACAGCAACCATAATACTGATTTAGCTGAAAAATAAAACATCCAGGACCAGGCCTGGCACACAGTAGCTGCTGCTTGCAGCTGTTGCTAAAACCCATGTGGCTCTTTCTTAGTGACCTTCTTACCCAGAGGACATAAGTCAATTATCCTCAAGGCACATAGTGACAGCGGTTCTACAAGGGGTCGCACTAACACAGCACATGACCTTTTGGTGGCTGAATTCCATCAAGAATAGAATTCAGAGGGCATAAAGAAGTGGATGGATATGCACATGTTCCTAAGACAATCTTTCTTAAAGGTCACTTTTTTCAGCTAAGCTTTTGATAGAAGAAATTTCAGTTAGATAACCCTATGGCATTTGATTAAAGGCAGAAATATGCAATCCCAGAGAGGCAAACTCTTTCTCCTTCTCCCTAAGGTTTAGAACTTAGCCTGAGAGAGCCCCAAAAGTGAAGACTAAACTTTCTAATCCCCTTTATTCAGGGATGTGTTAGGAAAAAGAGGGCTGACCAAGTGTGTAAAATGTCCACCACTGTGCCATGCCCGGCAGAAAACAGAGGCGCAATCAATGTTTGTTCATTTTCCCTCTTCCTTGTCCACCAGAGTTTTTCTTTTTTTTTTTTTTCCAATTGATGTATAGCTGATTTACAATATTGTGTTAGTTTCAGGTGTACAGCAGAGTGATTCAGATACACGCATATATTTTTTCTGGTTCTTTTCCTTAATAGGTTATTATAAGATATTGAATATAGTTCCCTGTGTTATACAGTAAATCCTTGTTGTTTATCTATTTTATATATAGTGGTGTGTACATCAGAGTTTTTCTTTAGTTTGGTCCTCTTGTTTTGCTTTTTCAAAGAGGCAGAGATTATAATGTGCACCATCTGCACAGAGGACCCCCAAGACATGGGCCTTACTCCCCAGAGACGTTGGGTCCTATAGACACAGCTCTTCTTCCAAAAGGAAAAGAAGAGAAGACTGAACCAAGACTGTTCAAACAGCAGACACCAGCCAGCATCAGTCATGTGAGTGTAAACACCTAGGAGCTTGGTCCCAAACCCCACCTGGAAGGACCTCCCATCAGGGCCACCAGGCACAGTTATACAGATTGCTTACTACACAAGGGCATCTGCTAAGGGGGGAAGTGGAAGCTGAAACCCACTCTGTGGTCCACTCACCATGCCCCGCACCCCAGCATTGGGCTGCATCCTTCTGAAGGGCAGGGTATCCATTCTAACTTCTACAAAGGTACTAAAAGGAAACTCAGTTTTCCTACACTCACATCACTTCTGATACCAAATGCATGAAGGTTTTTCCCACATGAACCAATTCTCCAGCTCTCCAGACACCAACTGGGTGTCCTACAATTCAACTCTGACACTACTCAGAGTTAGCACAGAGCCCCCCCTCAAGTTAAGGGCTCAGTCCCACATGCTTGCCCCACTTCAGACACCAATCACAAGTCCCAAGTGGTCACCTGTACTTCTGACTAACAAGCTATAAATAGGGGGTTCCTACGCCCCCCTCCTCAGATTCAATAATTTGCTAGAACAGCTCATAAACTTGAGAAACATTTACTTACTAGTACTGATTCATTACAAAGGATATTTTAAAGGATTACAAATGAACAGCCAGATGAAGAGATACATACGGCAAGGCCCAGAGGGTCCCAGGCACAGGAGCTTCTGTCTCCATGGAGTTTGGGGTGTGTCACCTTCTCCCACAGGGATGTATTCACCAACCCAGAAGCAATCTGAACTCCTTTGATTAGGGCTTTTATGGAGGCTTCATTACAAAAGCATAATTGATCAAATCACCGGAAAATGGTGATTTATGCAATTTCCAGCCCTTCTCCCTGCCTCTGAGGTGGGGGGAGGGGCAGGGGCTCAAAAGTCCAACCCTCTAATCACATGGTTGGTTCACCTGGCAACCAGCTCCCTCCCCCCTTTCGGGACAGTCCAAAATCACCTCATTAACATAATCTCAGGTGTGATTGAAAGGAGTTTGGGTTTGTTTTTTAACTGAAGTATAGTCAGTTTACTATGTTGTGTTAATTTCTGTTTACAGCATAATGACTCAGTTATACATATAGAAAGGGGTTTGCTAATACATAACAAAAAACACTCCTTTCAGTTTGGGATTAACAGATATGCATTACTATATATAAAACAGATAAACAACAAGGATCTACTGTAGAGCACAGAGAACTATATTCAATTTCTTGTAATGAGCCAAAATGGAAAACAAGCTGAAAATTTATATGTGTATGTATGTATATGTATAACTGAATCGCTTTGCTGCAAACCTGAAACTAACATTGTAAACTGACTACACTTCAATAAAAAAAAGGCACTCTTTTCATGTTTATGCTCCAGAAATCACAAGCATGCCTCGTTTTATTGCACTTCACTTTACTGCACTTGGCAGATAATGTGTTTTTACAAATTGAAGCTTTGTGGCAACCCTGCATCAAGCAAATCTGCCAGCACATTTTTCCAACAGCATTCGCCCACTTCATGCCTCTGTAACATGTTAGCAATTCTCACAACATTTCAAACCATTTTCATTAATATTATATTTGTTGTGGTGGTCTGTGATCACTGATCATTGCTGCTACCATTGTAATTGTTTTAGGGCACCATGAACCATGCCCATATGAGGTGGTGATCTTAATCAGTAAGTACATGTGTTCTGACTGCTCCACTTCCCTGTCCTCAATTCTCCCTAGTCCCTGAGACACAACAATATTGAAGTCAGGCCAATTAATAACCCTCTAAGTGTTCAAGTGAAGGGAAGTGTCTTACATTTTTCACTTTAAATCAAAACCTAGGAATGATTAACCTTAGTGAGAAAGGCATGTTGAAAGCTGAGAGAGGCCGAAAAGTTAGGTCTCTTGTACCAGTTAGCCAAGTTGTGAATGCAAAGGAAAAGTTCTTAAAGGAAATAAGAAGTGTTACTCTGGAGAACACATGAACGATGATAAGAAAACAAAACAGTCTTATTGCTGACATGGAGGAAGTTTGAGTGGTCTGGATAGAAGCTCAAACCAGCCACAATATTTCCTTAAGCCAAAGCCTAATCCAGAGCAAGGCCCGAACTCTCTTCAATTCTATGAAGGCTGAGGGAGGTGAGGAAGCTGCAGAAGAGTTTGAAGCCGGCAGAGGTTGATTCACTAGGTTTAAGACAAGAAGCTGTCTCCATAACAGAATAGGGCAAGGTAAAGCAACAGGTGCTGATGGAGAAGCTGCGGCAAGTTCTCCAGAAGACCTAGCTCAGATCATTCATGAAGGTGGCTACACTAACCAGCAGAGTTTCAGTGTCATGAAGCAGCCTTATGTTGAAAGATGCCATCCAGGACTTTCAGAGCTAGAGCGAAGTTCATGCCTGGCTTTAAATCTTCAAAAGACAGGCTGACTCTCTTGTTAGGGGCTAATGCAACTGATGACTTGCGGTTGAGGCCAATGCTCATTTACCATTCTAAAAATCCTAGGGCCCTTAAGAATTATACCAAATCAACTTTGCCTGTGCTCTCTAAGTGGAAGAACAAAGCCTGGATGACAGCATATCTGTTAACAACATAGTTTACTGAGTATTTTAAGCCCACTGTTGAGAAATACTGCTCAGGAAAAAAAGATTCCTTTCAAAACATTACTGCTCATTGACAATGCACCTGGTCACCAAGGAGCTCTGATGGAGATGTGTAAGATTAATGGTGTTTCCATGCTGCCCATACAGCATTCTGCAGCACAGATCAAGGGGTCATTTTAACTTTCAAGTCTTATTTTATAAGAAATACATTTTGTGACTTCTGGTCAAATTGGCAGAGTAGTGGGACCACGAGCTCACCTCTCCTCATGACTACAAGAAAACCACAACTGACTGCTGAACAACTGTTGGGAAAAAAAAGACTAGAACCCAGCAAAAAAGATCTTCAACTGGAAACATAAAGAGGGAACCACAGCGGGATGGTAGGAGGGCTATGATCATGATATAATCGGACCCCATACCCTCCGGGTGGGCGACCCACAAGCTGGAGAATAGTTAAGTTGCAGAGGCCCTCCCACAGGAGTGAGAGCTCTGAGCCCCACGACAGGCTCCCCAGCCAGGAGTTCTGGCACTGGGAAGAAGATGAAGGATTGAAGGCCAGTGGGGCTGAACTCCAGGAGCCCCACGGGACTGGGGGAAACAAAGACTTCAACTTCACTCTCTTGGGAAGTGCACACAGAATCTCGCATGAGCCAGGTCCAAGGGCAGAGGCAGTACTTTCACAGGAACCTGGACCAGACCTGCCTGATGGTTTTGGAAGTTCTCCTAGGAAGGTAGGGGACAGCTGCAGGTCACTCAGGGGACATAAAAGTTGGTGGTGGACATCCTGGGAGTGTTCATCTACATGAGCTTTCCTGGAGGCTGACATCTCAACTGGATCATTAGCACCAAAACCTGGCCCCACCCAACAGCCTGTAGGCTTTAGGGCTGGGAAGCCTCAGGCCAGACAACATACTGGGTGGAAACACAGCATCACCCATCAGCAGACTTCCTGAGCCACTGACTCCTCTAGACAAGGCCCTACACACCAGAGGTCCAGGACCAAGCTTCACCCAGCAGTGGGCAGGCACCGGCTCCTCCTGCCAAGAACCCTGCATAAGCCTCTACTCCAGCCTCATCCACCAGAGGGCAGATAACAGAAATAAGAAAACAACAATCCCAAAGCCTGTGGAAGGAATCCACAAACACAGGCCAGACTCTACACTGGGACTGGCTGGACCCTGGCCCTTGGGTGACAAGAGAGAAGTGTACTGCCAGGACACATAGGACATCTCCCACAGAGGGCCACTTCTCTAAGATCAAGAATGTAACTAACCTACCAAAAAAAAAAAAAGAACGTAACTAACCTACCTAAAAATACAAATAGAAAGATAGACCATATGAGGCATCAGAGGAATATCTTCCAGGCCAAGGCAAAAGATAAAAATCCCAGAAGAAGAAGTAAGTGATGAGGAGATAGGCAATTAATCTGAGAAAGAGTTTAAAGTAATGATGGCCAAGATGTTCAGAGAACTCAAGAGGAGTATAGATGCACAGAGCACAGTTTTTAAGAGAGCTGGAAAATATAAAGAATACCCAAACAGAGTTAAAGAATAAAATCACTGAAATGAATAACACAGTAGAAGGAGCCAGGAATAAACTAAATGAGGCAGAAGACCAGATCAGTGAGCTAATTAGTGGAAATCACTGACAAATTAGTGGAAATCACTACTGCAGAACAGAAAAAAGAAAAAAGACTGAAAAGAAACGAGGATAGTTTAAGAGAACTCTGGGACAACATGAAGCGCACTAATACTTGCACTGTAGGAGGTCCCAGAAAGAGAACAGAGAGAGAAAGGACCTGAGAAAATTTTTGTAGAGATAATAACCATAAACTTCCCTAACTTGGGGAAGAAAACAGCCCCCCAAATCCAGGAAGCACAGAGAGTTCCACACAGGATCAACCCAAAGAGGAACAACCAAGGCACGTAGTAATCAAACTGACAAGAATTAAGGATAAGGAGAAAATATTAAAATCAGCAACAGAAAAGCAACACATAGCATACAAGGGAACTCCCATAAGGTCATCAGCTGATTTTTCAGCAGAAACTCTACAGGCCAGAAAGGAGTGGCACAATATATTTAAAGTAATGAAAGGGAAGAACTTACACCCGAGAATTCTCTATCCAGCAAGGCTCTGCTTCAGATTTGAGGAGACATCAAAAGCTTCACAGATAAACAAAAGCTAAAAGAATTCAGCACTACCAAACCAGCGCTACAACAAATATTAAAAGAACTTCTCTTGTCATCAAACCACAAGAAATAAGAACAAAAAGAAGAAAGAGAAAAAAAAAACCTACAAAAGATTGCTTTGGCAATTCGAGTCTTTTATGATTCCATATAAATTTTGGAATTGTTCTGGTTCTGTGAAAAATGCCATGGGTATTTTGACAGGGGTTGCATTGGATCTGTAGATTGCTTTGGGTACTCTGGCCGTTTTGATAATGCTGATTCTTGCAATCCAAGAGCACAAGATAATCTCTCCATTTCTTTGTATCATATTCAATTTCTTTCATCAGTGTTTTACAGTTTTCAGAGTATAGGTAACCTCCTTGATTAGGTTTATGTCTAGGTATTTTGTTGCTGTTTTTGGTGGGGCGGTGGGGAGGAGGTAATTAAGTTCTTTAATTTATTTGTCTTTTTTCTTTTAATGGAGGTACTGGGAATTGAACCCAGGACCTTGTGTATGCTAGGCAGGCACTCTACCACTGAGCTATACCCTCCCCCTGGTATTGTGTTGTTTTTGATGCAATGGAAATGTTAATGCCAGCTATAAAGTTCTGGTTTTTGAAGTGAAAAAAAAGAAGTGAATGGAGGGCCACATATGGCAAAATATCCTTCTTTTTTATGGGTGAGTTGTATTTCATTGTATATATGTGCTGCATCTTCTTTATCCATTCATGTATTGATATGCATTCGGGATGCCTCCATGTCTTGGCAATTTTAAGTGGTGCTGCTGTTAATAGCAGGGTGTATGTGTCTTTTTGAATTAATGTTTTTGTTTTCCTCAGGTGTGTACCCAGGAGTGGAGTTGCTGGGCCATGTGGTGGTTCTGTTTCAGGGTTTTTGAGATAGCTCCATAGTGTTTTCCATAGTGGCTGCACCAATTTACATTCCCACCAACAATGTACTAGTGTTCCCTTTCCTCCACATCCTTGCCAACATTTGTTACCTGTGTTCTTTTTGACGATGGTCATTCTGACAGGTGTGAAATGGTGTCTCATTGTGGTTTTGATTTGCATTTCCCTGATATTGAGCGACTTTTCATATTCCTGTTGGCCATCTGCATTTCCTCTTTTGGAAAAATGTCTGTTCAGTTCTTCTACCCGTATTTTAAATGGGTTGTTTGTTTGCTTGCTTTTTAATTTATGTACAGTTGATTAAAAAAACAAAGAAATACATTTTGTAAGGCTGTAGCTGCCGTATATAGTGAGTCCTCTGATGGATCTGAGCAAAGTCAATTGAAAACCCTCTGGAAAGAATTCAGCATTCTGGATGCCATTAAGACCATTTATGATTCATGGAAAGAGGTCAAAACATCAACATTAACAGGAGTTTGGAAGAAGTTGATACCAATCCTTACGGATGACGTCAAGAGATTCAAGATTTCAGTAGAGGAAGTAACTATAGATGTGGTGAAATTAGCAAGAAAACTAGAATTAGAAGCAGAGCCTGAATAGGGGCAATCTCATGATAAAACTTAAACATATGAAAAGTTGGTTCTTACAGATGAGCAAAGAAAGTGGTTGCTTGAGATGAAATCTACTCCTAGTGAAGATTGTTGAAATGACAAAGGATTTAGAATATTACATAAATTTAGTTAATATAGCAGTGGCAGGGTTTGAGAGGATTGATTTCAATTTTGAAAGAAGTTCTACTGTGGGTAAAATGCAATAAATAGTGTGGCGTGCTACCAAGAAATCACTCATGAAAGGAAGTGTCAATCAATGTGGCAAACGTCGTCTTATTTTAAGAAATTGCTAAAGCTACCACAACTATCATCAACCACCATCGTGATCAGTCAGCAACTATCAACATCAAGGCAAGATCCTCTACCAGCAAAAAAATAATGACTCGCTGAAGGCTCAGATGATGGTTAGCATTTTTTAGCAATGAAGCATTTTTTAATTCAGGTATGTACATTTTTCAGACATAACACAATTGCACACTTCATTGACTATACGTAAGTAAACAAAACTTACATATGTCCTGGGAAACAAAAATATTCATGTGACTTGCTTTATTCCAATAGTCACATTATTTAAAGTGGTCTAAACTCAAACCCACAATATCTCTGAGGTATGTGTGTACAAGGGTTTTAGGAGCTCATGTCAGAGGCTCAGGATGAAGACCAAATATATATTTCTATTATGTCACAGAATCACTGTACTAAGTGGGAAGTCATGGCCCTCTGCCATCCTCTCTTAGGAAGAAACTCCTATTGTTCCAGCCTATGGGGAAAGGTGAACACTGACATGCCTTCAAATGCTTGAAGTTTCCCAAAAGTTACCAAATGATGCAGCAGTGAATAAAGCTGGCTTTGATTAAACTAGTTAACCATTGATCATGGCAACATCAATCTATCAAAGTTGAAAATTGCTTCACTTTGATCCAGCTCTGTAGATCATGGTTTAGCATCAACAAAGGGGGGCAGATCATAAAGCATATTCTATTTCTCTTTTCTTCTATGAAATTATATCAAAAGCTGAAACATAGGATCTCCCCACTAGCTCCACACTAAGACTCACTCTCCTGCTTCATCTGGAACCCACATGAATTCCACTCTAAGCCATTCTGTCTTGTTCAACATAATCTTCATTTGATGGTTTTTTTCCCTTGCTTTCTACACATATCATGGTCTCTTTCCTTAATTTTTCATCTTTAGGAGATGGAACTGATTGACAAAGCCAAGAGAAAGAAAAGAACCAAGACAGATAAGTCCAAGGAGCCCAAGGGTGAGAGAGAAGGAAAGATCCATAGGGAAGCAGAGGCCGCTGTCGGTAAGGGACCACTGAGAAGACACCTAATGGGGGCCAGGAGGTGTCACAGAGAATCAGCATGGATCCAATGGGACCAATATGTTTTGAGTCTCCTTGACTACCACAGCTAAGATGGTGTTGCAGCCTTACTTCCTGTCAGCATCTTAGGAAACAGGGATAGAGGAAACCGGGGGTGCCTAGAGACCTGTGATCAACAAGAGAGAAAATTATAATACTAATACTAGCACCTATTAAATTGAGCACCCACTGTATTAGGAGCTCTGCATTTATAATATCGTGAAATCCTCACAACATCTCCATAAAGTAAGTGCCATTATTATATCATGTAGCAGTTGAGACTGAGAGAGGTTGGGTGACTTGCATAACATCAAACAGATCAAACAGTAAAGTGGTAGACCCAGGGTCTGGACATGCCATTTGATTCCAAACTCATGCCTCACAAACAAACACTGCCTCTGTGAATAATAACTATATCATTATCTGAGAATTGGGCCGTGAGAGCATTTGGGAAGGGGAAGATTGCAACATGCTCTGAATGGTGACCCCAGCTACCATTTTTCTTCTTGGTTCCCTGTGTTGAATCTTACAGGGAGTTCAGGTTCCTGTGCTTCTGAAGACTTTTTCTTTAACCTAAAACCTACATCTATTCTTTCTCGGCCACATGACTCAGAAGACCTTGGAGACAAATCAAAGGCTTTCAGAAAGGATGACATTGGATAGTCTCCTGGGCCAGATTTGTTTTTGAGGTTTTCTTTATAAAGTCTTGCTCAGTTTACATTGTTGCAGCCCATGACTTGCGTAGCACTGGCAAGACTGGGAAAGGAAATACTTGTGGCCACCAGAGGTGAATTGAGGATGAGTATGGAAGGTTTAAATTTTGCCAGGTTACAAAGCAGCAACCTCAAGCTAGACTCTCGAGGCATGGTTTTCCAACTGCATCTACGGGTCTCCCTTCCAGAGTGTCTCACTCCCACCAAAGGTTAGAGTGAAACAACTGTTTCAGTAGAAAGATTGCTGAATTACAGTTGATCCAAATAGGATAAGGCAGTTCTCAAAGGGTGGTCTGTGGACTACTCGTCTCAAAACACTTGGAGTGGTTGTTAAAATGCAGATTCCAACAGAATCAAACTCTAGGAGTGGGGCTCAGGAATCTGCACTCAGGTGGTTCCATTGCACACGGAAGTTTAAAAGTTATAGAAAAGGATGCAGAGATCACATTTACTTAGCTATGTCTCTATCCCTGATTGTTCTCCCCCAGGAAAGCCAAAGGAATCAAAGGCTGAAAAGAAATCAAAGCCAATTCCCAAGGGGAAAAAACAGGAGCCAAAAGGAAAAGGATACGAAAGGAAAGGAATCTGGAAATGGCAGCAGAGCTGAGTGGGCCTGATGTCATTAACTCTGCGGAAACTAAAGACACCTCAGATGGAGGTTTCTTCTCTTCCGTGATAGAGGATCCCTGGCTTTCTTCCAAATTTGATGCTCCTGAGAGTCAAGTTTCTATAGATGCAAGGTTATCACCTACCCAGACTGCAGCTGTCACTGGAAACATGGAATCTGAAGAAGAGAGAAGCCATGAGGACCCTTCCAAGGTAGGGTCCAATATTCTCAACTTGGCCAGAGGGATTTCTGTCCTCACTGGTACCACTGCAGAGGCAGGAAAAACTGCCCCAAATTATATTGCAGTTACTGAAACGGCTCTCTTATATAATGGCTTTATTTGTTCTACTTTGGTACCTTCTGACCTTTTAAGAAGCTGGACCTGATCAAAGACACAGGATGGCAAAGCCCCCCTGCAATGATGCATTTTGTGAGGTTCCCTAACTGCCAGGGCATGTACTCACCCTTTCCTTAAAAAGCAGGAAGTTGGCACAGCACCCATCTGTAACAGATACAGGCCTCACAGTTACAGGGAAAGCTGGATTTGGGCCTTAGAGACAAGCATGTATCTTTGATTTGGCCTGGAGCGCATGCATTGCCTGACTCCCAAAGGTTGTAGAAATTCTTCCATTCTTCATCTGCTTTTCTGTGGCACACAGCTGAGCCACAGGCAACTTATACACACACATCTATCTGCCTTGACAATGTGCTTTTTGCATGTAAGCATCATTTTGTTCTAATGTTTTGATTCTGATGTTGAGTATTTAAGAGAAAAATTGAGTGAGTATAAGGAAAATTACCCTTGAAAATCTCAGCAATTCACCAAAAATAATACCATACAGATATATCTCTCAATAAGGCCAACACAGCCAATATTTCCTCTACTGTTGGAATAAGTCACTATTTCTTCCATTGAGATCCAGGTGCTGAACTAACTCTGTTTTGAGGTCTTGTACAATAAATAAATAAATAAAAGTATCTTTAAACACTGCAAAAGTACCCACAACTAAAGCACTATGGTTAAAATCACATAAGTTACATGCAAATATGGTCCAATTCTGCTGAACTTCATTTACTCTTTATAGCCACACTTGTGAGCCAGGTATGATTAGTCCCATTTTACAGACCTAGAAGCTGAGGCTTCGGGGAGTTAGATGTTTGTTGCCAGAAGTTACACAACCATCAGGTGGTAGAGCCAAGACTTAAACTCAGTTCTGTAGACTCCAAAATCAAAGTTCTTGTCACTGTTTTAAATTATTATGTATTATTTATTTTACAGCCCAACAAGATTTTTCCTTTATAGTTCTCAATCTTCCCGGCCGCCTCTTCTACAGAATTCTGCTCTATACAGCAGATGAAAATTTTAAGCTGTGGGCAGAACTTTTCTAAGCCAGAATTTCTAAATTTATTCTGATTTCAGAATTTCTGGATTTTTTTGTCAAACCACAGTATGGTGCTGCCTCTGCAAAGGCTAAAAAACAAGGGAGTGTCCACCCCAAGTTGGACACACAGAGTTCCCATGGAAGAGTTGCATTTCAAGTTTCCCCTCATGGGCATATTTCTGACAGAGGCGGAGGTATCAGGAAGAAAAAGAAAGTTAAGACAACTTTTACATAAACTGGGAGAGCCTTCATTAAAAAAGTAGATTTGCATAGGATTAAATATGAATCTGAATCTGACTCCTAAGACTGCCCCTAAAAACAGCCTATGTCTAAAACCTGTGTTTCTCAGCCCTGACTTCAGGTTAGAATCACCTCAAGGTGCTTTTTAAAACCAACAAGGCCTCCCACCTACATATTCTTATTTAATTGGTCTGGGTGGGGCCTTGACTTCAAGTAATTTTTAGAAGCTCCTTGGGCAATTCTAAAGTGCATCTGGATGGACAATGTACCAGACATTATGTTGGTATTTTCACTATTTCAGTTAATTCTGGTAACAGTCAGCCAAGAAGAAGACAATATCAGAGAAAGTTAAGTTGTGATCCCCAAATTCTGAAACAAGACAGAGACTTGGATCCAGGTCAGTCAGACCCCAGAGCCCAGGCCAGCGGTGGCAGAGTTTATACAGCTGTGGTCACAGGGTGGAAACCACTTAATCTCGGATGAGAGGCAACATGGTGCAGGATGGAGGAGGGCTCGCTGCTGAGACAAGGCTTACCGTGATGACCACGCTGTCCCTTGCACTAAGAACTGCTCTGGTTCCGTAGGCCCTCCTCGCTAAGAGGGAGCAAGAGAGAGCTTCCCGGGACAGGCTGCGAGCAGAGCAGGCCCACATGAGACGGCTGGAGGTGGAGAGGAAGAGAAGGGAGCAGGAGGAGCAGAGGCGGCTCCAGCAGGAGCAGCTGGAGAGGGCAGAGAAGATGAAGGAGGAGCTGGAGCTGGAGCAGCGAATCCGCGCGGAAGAGATCCGGTGGGTGGGGCCGCCACCGAGGCCACAGCCCTGTTAGAAAGCAGAAGACAAAGGCAAGGGTTGACCTCCGTTAGGGGAAAAGTAGGTTCTGAAGCTCATGCGCTCAAGTAAAACAGCATGTCCCGTTTTTCTCCACCCCCGGTAACCCCAGGAACAACCTGGACCACAGATGTTGTGTCTTAAACCATCAGGGGTACTCCAGACAGATGTTCACAGGATACTCCTGAGAGGGCTTTGAGATCCAGTACAGCAAATATTTGTTGCACCCCTTGCCACGTTGTCTGCCTTGTGCTAAGCCCTTCCATTGGCCTGGACTCACTCAATCTTCTCAACAACGCTGTGAGACAGGAATTTCAGAATCCACTTGATAAGCATAGTAGATGAAGCTCTGGGAACTTAAGGCCTCCACCCCAGATCCCAGTGCTGTGCTGAAACGTCCAGGCTTTCTAGTTCCAGGTCTGTTGTGTTCTGCTCTTCAGTCAGACTTCCCTCAAAATACAAGTCTCAGCAGGGAGAGTATAGCTCAAGTAGTAGAGTGCATGCGTAGTATGCATGAGGTCCTGGGTTCAGTTCCCCAGTACCTCCTCTTGTTACGGAAACGACCGGCCAGTCAAGAAACAAGCACCACTCGGAGGGTTGGAGTACTCAGATGTATTACGCTGGCGGGCTCAGAGGGGCTTCTGCTCCGAAGCTCTGAGCACCTTCAAGATGTGAGCATGAGGTTTTATAGGGTAAAGTACAAGCTTGGGGTATTCGGCCAATAGGCATTGAACAGCTTTAGCAGTATTATCATCACAAAGGTGGAGGCAGGGAGGCAGCAAACCAACATTCCAAAGCCAGATATGTATCTTTGAAAACCCAGCTGGCTAGCAAAAAAACATGAACAGCAAACCAACACTAATTAACCTAGAGTTAC